CCCCAAAACCCCAAAACCCCAAAACCCCAAAACCCCAAAACCCCTTAAACATAATTTCTAATTGAATTATGATCCCTATCGGTCTAGAGTTCAAGATCCATCTCTTCGTCATCTTCTTGGAGTTCCCCTTTCTTAGTGTCATCAGTGTTCCTCTCTTTCAGCTTGAGTTGTGTCAGAGTATTGGAGACAACCCCGATTCTGATATCCACAGCTCTAATTTCTTTCTGCATTTTTGTAATTCCTTTCTTGATTTTTTGGAGAGGTGAAGCGTCTGAAATCTTGGATTGGTTCTCATCCATTTTCTTCTTCACATCAGCTAATTTCTCCTCTACATCATACAGTTCTGACTCTAGTTCTTGGACTGAGTTTTTGAGCCTATTGAATTCGTTCGTATTTTCCTTCATTGTTTCGGCTACTTGCTTATAGTCTCCAGTCATTGTATCATGCCTAGTCTTGAACATTCCTTCCTTCTTCGAGATCTTCTCAAGAGCCCTGCTGACTTCATCTGCAATTTTCTCAAGTTTGGACCTGACATCTGGCAGGGTTTGTTGGACCTGTTCTGCGTACTTTTTGGTCTGATCAAGATGACTTCTCCATTCCTGAGCATCATGAGACTCCTTTATTTTGAGCTTATGGGCTACTCTTTGACACTCTCTATGCCACTCGTCCGGGTCGATTCCGGCTTCAATGATTTCATTCTCAGCCTCGAATTCGTTACCTTTGGCATCACCTGGAAAGCCTTCAACAAGCTCAGCGATGTCATCATCATCGTCAAAGGCATCGTTAGCGAGGTCAACAATCTGATTGTTGTCATCATTATCATTACCATCATCTTCGTTGACTTGTTCTTCGTCATCATCTGGAATAACAGGTTGTCTGAACTTAAATTTTTGAGCTTTTAGAGCAACTTCTACAAGACCATGCAAAGCTTGGCAGACTGCTTCTCCTGATCCAGATTTCAATTTTGAAGGTGGGAAATCAATAAGGATGTCTAATTTCTTTAGATCAAGTACAATGTTATTAGTAACAGTATTTGGATCATCATATTGATTCCAGCCACCTGGTGTCTGTCCTCATCAGGTCAGAAGCCAAGACACCAAGCTGACAAAATACATAAATTGATCAGAAGGGTTGAATTTAACTGCAAAGTAACACCTGCTGAGTGGTTTTAGACCTCTCTCAGAACAGAAATCTCCTTCGTAATTGAGTAATTTAAGATATTCTATAATATCTTCCATGAGTACTTCAGGGTTGATGGCAGTAGCCTCCTCTTCGCCTTCCATATTATACGATTTTTAAATATGAATTCTATTTATAATTTAAATACAGGGGTTTTGGGGTTTTGGGGTTTTGGGGTTTTGGGGTTTTGGGG